TAAAAAATATATAAATATATATGTATGTATATGTCAAAATATCTGATTTTAGAAATTTAAAAGTTGTTTTCTTATTTTTGAAACGATATATAGGGTAAATTTGATATATGAATTTTTCCCATTTTTTATTCTTTTTGATTTTCATCATGAATTTGGGCTAAGTTTTCCATTTTTTTACAAGCCAATTTGCTTTTGGGCTGGGGCGGGGCGGGGCCCTCTCCTCAGCCTCGCAGACTAAAATAAAGCAGATGGCATGCATCAATCCGATATTTGCTGAGTTACGTCCAGATACTTGCTTGCGTTGTCTACACCTTCACTTTCCTTTTATGGCCTAACTGGTGAGAGTAGCACGAAAGATCACCACTAGTACGGATGTCTTCAATATGGGTCGATTATTTTGTACTATTTTAATTAGTTATTTTTGGTAGTAGTCCATACCGTTGGTATATTTCAATTAACTTTTTTATTAGGCTAATTATGTTCTTAGTAATTAATTAGATTAACTCTACATTCGGGCACACACAGAGCATGGATTTGACGTTCATGGCTATATTTCTTTTCCTCCTTAACTCACCCGCATCGATGCGAACGATCGACAACGTTTTTTTTCTCCACCTCAACACCAGACTCCGCGAAGCCCTCAACCTACGCAATTGGATCGGAGATTCAACAGTAGAATACGGTTATATTTCAAAGCATGAATACTCTTTGGCAACTTTTGCAATAATGTGTTGAATTATTTTATTAATATTATGTCAATTAAAAAAGATTATAAGTTAATTTTTGACCTCACAATTTTTGGGTCAGATAAGGGCTTATACTTCTAAGTAAATTACAACGAATAGTACAAATTTGATATTCTGCTTCCTACCTGAATTGAAGTCTCTTTTATTTCATGATCTAATAGGCATGAAACATAATACAAATTGCATCATTTGCATAAACAAGCAGTACAATACAAACTTAGGGACCTATTAGTAGGACTTTCGAAAAGTCAAAAACTCCAATTGAGACTTTTAAACATGTTTGAATAATTTTCTGAAAGTGCTTTGTTTAGCTAAAAAAGCTTTTACAGGAAGGCGATCTTCTATTTAAGAACTAGAGACAAATGAGACCTTAAAGTAACATACAAGAATAACGGCTTTACCCTCACAAGAGAAACCCTGCAAACAACTAACCCCACAATTGTTGGACCCTCACGCATCGCGAGAGTGTCTCCTGTAATTGCAGCGTTGTTTTTTGTATAACTTGCTCCCATCTCAATCGCACTTGTGTATTACAGCATTTGACGCAATATGGACGACCCTGAGTCGACTTTCATACTAGTATACTAAACACGGGATGCAAGTTGCAACATAACTTTCCTTAAACCTTTCTCACAATTTGGTACACGATAGAGCCATGCATATGGTCTTTAAGTAACATGAAGCAAAAAGTTGTCGGAAAATGAAAAATATTCGTCTATGGAGTATTAAATTCCACAGCTAACCACTGGTGATAACTTCATAGTATTTGGCTCTCACTTCAATATTGAAACTTGACAATATCAACTGTGGATGGATTCCCATTGCTAAGACCATTAATCCACTGACAAAATAACAGAATTAGACAAAAAAATTTATTAAAAAAAATAAAAAAGGAAAGGAAACCTAGCGCCCTACTGAATTATTAATTTCAGAGAAAATAGTCCCAGTCTTTAATCTGTCACTGATATCAATAGATGTGCTACTGCTCTTAGATAGGTCGTTGCTAGCAGTTGATGTATTAGTGCTCTTTAATTTGACCACAACTTCGCCCGAACCGGAAAATAATTCGTCGTTGTCTGTGCTGGTTGGCTCCTCTTGCCGAAGTATTGGATATGACGGGAACATTGGGGAGTCTCCACCGTCCACCACCGCCCCGTCACAGCTTCTATTCTCTGCCATCTCCTGCAGCTGCATGGCAAACTCTAGGGTCCAAACCACATCACTCATAGTTGGTCTTTCGATCCCGTTGTCCCTTAAGCATCTAGTGGCAATTTCAGCATATTTACTCAAACATTCAGGTGCAATTTTTCCCTCAAGATTGGGATCAACAATTTGTTCAAGAGTCCCCTTCTTGTAACAGAGTTTAGCCCACTCAGCCAAGTTCACTTGCATTTTCTGTATGTTTGGTATAATTGGAGGTCTAGCACATAGAACTTCAAACAATACGACACCAAATGAGTAAACATCTGATTTCTCTGTCAATTTTCGTCTCCTATAATACTCTGGATCGAGGTATCCTAAACTGCCCTTGACCATTGTACTGACGTGGGTGTTGGTCCCGGCTGTGGGGCCGAATTTGGACAAGCCAAAATCAGAAACCTTGGCCACCCATTTCTCATCCAACAAGATATTGGTAGTCTTTACGTCTCTGTGAATGATCATGTGCTTCGCGCCCGTGTGAAGATAATGCAACCCTTTCGCAGCCCCAATGAGAATTTGGAGACGATTTTTCCACTGTAATGGAGAATTCTCCGAATTGTAGAGATGGTCGCGTAGTGTGCCATGTACCATGTAATCGTACACCAAGATCATCTCACCATTTTCGTCACAATATCCAATCAAGGACACCAAGTGAAGGTGTCTCAATGTTGATAACATTTGGATTTCTGTTTCGAATTCACGGACCCCTTGATTCGATGATGGATCCAGTCGCTTGATGGCAACTGCAGTTGCACCGTTCTCAATGTACCCTTTATACACCTTACCAAATCCACCCAAGCCAATCACAAAACTGTCGTTAAAGTTACCCGTTGCCAGGTTAATCTCNTTTATACACCTTACCAAATCCACCCTTGCCAATCACAAAACTGTCGTTAAAGTTACCCGTTGCCAATTTAATCTCCTCCAACAAAAAGTGCCGGCACAGATCAGACGGTAGCGATGAACCCGAACCACTGGTCTTCGTGGTAGACTTCAAAGTGATTGAAAGTGGGACCCATGATGACTTCCCCGCACTTAGGCCAGAGTCTTTCACTCTCCGTCGGCGACAAAAAATCAAGAAGCTGACTACTAATAGCATAAGAACAAAGCCAGTCACGCTCCCAATAACAGGATAAAGTACATGAGACGTATATGTACTTCTATTCTTCTCTGAGCTAATATCTGGTCCTGGCGGCGAAGAATTCAGAATAGGTTCAAGGTTGGCTGCAGCAAGACTATGACTAGAATTACTGAGTTTGAAGATTTCTAAGCCATTTAAAAGCGCATTGTTGTACAAAGGATGGTCCATAGTGTTTGGGAACAAAGAAAGGCTCAGGTTTTTCTCTCCATGGCGGCCGTCATCACTAACCCATGTGACATAGTCTTTGAAATAAGGAATTTGAGTGCCACCAGTCCATGAAATAACATCAGCTTCAATTTCTGCTGTCTGATCGTTGATTGAAATAGTGAAAACCCTTTCGCTTTGATTGGTAACTTCCAGCTGAATCTCACAGAAATGGAGTCTGAGGAGGTAGAAAAACCCGGAAGCAATAGGAAATCTCCATTCCAAACTTTTACTTCCGTTGGCTATTACTCTTGAGGTAGTGTAAACTATTTCCGGTGCAGTATAAGTTGGGGTGTGTTCAGTGTACTTGATTTGAAGATCTTGTCTATGAGGTGAGTAACCAAAATCTCCACCAAAAATATAGGGATCATCTGGAATCCATTCACGAAACATCCCCGAGTCGTCTTTTATTCCGACATAAGCTCCTCCTACGTTGAACCTGTAAAGATTTTCCATCGCGGTTGTATTTTTCAGCTCATACTGTTGATTCACAAATTTGATGGGGTCGCCACGGAAGTAAAGGGTGTCTGGCATGGAAACTATCTCAATCCCGTTAATAAACGCGTAAGATTTTGGAGAAGGTGAAAAGGTAACGTTAAGGCTCTGATTATCCTCGACATTAATGATGAATTCTTTCTTAAAGGAGGGTTTAGAGGGTGTGGATGTGAGATACGCACTGAAATTGCTCAAAAGTGTGAATTCATTGGCAGTGACGGTAAAGAAGGATTCATTTTTGTTGAAGTTTTTATCAAGGTTGGAGTAGGTGGTGGAGTAAAAGTAGAGGCGGAGAAATTTGGGTCCGGCCAAGACTGGAAAAGTGTAGGTGAACTGGGATTGGAAAATACGAGCTCTCGTGTAAGGGGCAGAATTCGGGACAGAAGAGACTTGTTCTGTTGGTGCAGAGGCTATAGACGTGGTAGCGATGTTTGGTGGTGCTGGTGCATACTTGGAATGAGCATCACCATCCCAGCTACGTTCGTTGGCATCTTTTATACTTGACTCTGAGCCACAGCACATGAGAATTTGGTCTGTGGGCAGGTAAGGAGGAGCGGCAGAGAGGGCGGTGGTTAGGAAGCGGAGGAAGCACAGGAGGAGAGCAAAGCAGGACATGATTTTTGAGGGTGCTAATTGTTTTTGTGTTGCTTTTTTCATCAAGGACAATTGAGATATATAAAGAGAAAATACATTTTTTGTTAAAAAAAGTTAAAATAAAATATGTAACTTATAATTAACGACTCAACAAGTAGGAGAAGACTCTGCAAACTCTTCGTGGGGATGCAAGTTAGTGGAATTATATGAACCAATATCAATTATTGGTCATGAAAAGTGGGTTCAAGAATGAGATATTTTTGACTGTTTGTGACTTTTCCAAGAGAAAAGTATTAATAAATTATTTCCAAAAGATGATATCATTTTTCTAGTTGCTTTATATATTTATTTTTTGCTTATACTTTCTGAATTGGAATCATTTTGATGTATTAGTATTTTCATTTTGTTGATTGTCGTTACTTGAAAGAAATGTACCGCCGTTTGGTTTGGATTAAAATCAAATTAAAATCTCAAGTCAAAGTAAACAATTAATTTTAATCACACACTTCATGGGATTCACAACTTTTCAACCACACATTTCATCAACTTTTATCAAAATCTACTAAAAATTTGATTTTAATCTCTACCAAACAGGGACTAAATGTTGTGTTGTACAATTATCAATTATCGCTGCATANATTAAGTCTCTGATTATCCTCGACATTAATGATGAATTCTTTCTTATAGGAGGGTTCAGAGTGTGTGGATGTGAGATACGCACTGAAATTGCTCAAAAGTGTGAATTCATTGGCAGTGACTGTAAAGAAGGATTCATTTTTGTTGAAGGATACGTTTTTATCAAGGCCGGAGTAGGTGGCGGGGAAAAAGTAGAGGCGGAGAAATTTGGGTCCGGCCAAGACTGGAAAAGTGTAGGTGAACTGGGATTGAAAAATACGAGCTCTCGTGTAAGGGGCGCGATTCGGGACAGAAGGGCCTTGTTCTGTTGGTTCGGAGGCTATAGACGTGGTGGTGATGTTTGGTGGTGCATACTTGGAACGAGCATCACCGTCCCAGCTACCTTTGTTGTCATCTTTTATAATTGACTCTGAGCCACAGCAGAGGAGGATTTGGTCTGTGGGCGAGTAAGGAGGAGTGGCAGAGAGGGCGGAGGTTAGGAAGCGGAGGAGGAAGCAGAGGACGAGAGCAAAGGAGGACATGATTTTTGTGGGTACTAATTGTTTTTGTGTTGCCTTTTTCATCAAGGCTGATGGCTGTTGGCATATGTGAGGAGGGTTAAATTCCATCAATGGACAATTGAGATATATAAAGAGAAAATACAATTTTTGTTAAAAAAAAGTTAAAATAAAATATGTAACTTATAATTAACGACTCAAAAAGTAGGGAAGACTCAGCGAAGTCTTTGTGGGGATGCAAGTCAATGGAATTATATGAACCAATATCAATTATTGGTCATGACAAGTTGGTTCATAAATGAGACATTTTTGACTGTTTGTGACTTTTCCAAGAGAAAAGTATTAATAAATTATTTCCAAAAGATGATATCATATTTCCTGTAGTCGCTTTATATATTTATTTTTTGCTTCTACTTTCTGAATTGGAATCATTTTGATGTATTAATATTCTCATTTTGTTGATTGTCGTTACTTGAAAGAAATGTAGCATGTTTAGTTTGGATTAAAATCAAATTAAAATCTCAAATCAAAGTTAACAATTAATTTTAATAACACATTTCATGGGACCCACAACTTTTCAACCATATGTTTCATCAACCTTTATCAAAATCTAATAAAAATCTGATTTTAATCTCTACAAAACGGGTAATTTTTGTGTTGATTTTGACATTACTTCATTTGTTGTATCGATTTTTTTAACAGACGTACGATATTGATGATTCGAATGATAAAATTTTCATACAATGAACTTTATGTATATCGAGAATAATATTTGTTTGTTTGTCATTGTATTGGCGTCTCTTACCCTTGACGGAATTGTTGGTGGTCTTCTTCACCCTAAAACCAGTGGATGAGCTTCTTTCAAATGAGTATTAAATATCAAAACTTTAAATTATGCTTCATCTTTA